CCATGTCTTTAAATATAGATGGCTCTCTAGGTGCTTAGTCACCAAGGGTTAAGGTATTAGTCTTATTTATCTTACCTGTTTACCCTTTTCCTTCATTTTTTGATAGCTTCACTTCTATTATTTTATTGTCTTTGATGTTATTAATATCGTAATAACAGTCCAATCATCATAATATCAATAAGAATGATAACAATGTCAACATTAGTAGTATTGGAAAGAAAAACGTATTTTCCCGCCAGTTCAAGGAATGGTGAAATCAGGATCGGTCACTAGGACCAATTGATAGACTCCTTGCTGCTGAACACACGTGGAGCCATCTGTATGTAATAAAACTCTCTAAAATTTAAAGAGGACAGTAAATAAGCCCGCTGACATTGGATTAAGGGCAGCCAGTCTCTGCCTGTGCGCCACGACGTACTTCACCAAATGAGCCTTTTGCGCGAAGAACTTCCTGTAAATGCCGCATCCGAAGGGCTTTTCGTTGGTGTGCAACAGCGAGTGCCGAAGGAGGTTCCCCTTCTGAGTGAAGCGCCTGCCGCAGGTGTCGCATCCGAAGGGCCTCACCTCCGCGTGGACATTCTTGTGAATCAGCAAATGCCCTTTTGGCAAAGTTTAATTTCGTTCTTAGCTTTGCGTGTGACTCCTAGAATGTCGGCTATAAACACATACTTTTACCCTTTCTATATATTTTAATTCTGTTTTTTCTTTTTCTTTCTCGTGCATCAAGATCTCTTGTAGTAAAATTGCAAGTATTACAATATTTCAATTTATTTTCGTTTCCTGACGCTGATTATGAAGGACTATATTTCTAGTCAGTTATTTTCTTCTCTCATTTGCAACATGCATATGATCTGATGTTTTAATTATACCAATAGGCTATGATCTGTGTAAAAAGCGTGAATAACACTCAACCTGTAATTGTCCATTAAGTATATTGAGTTCTATTATGTAATTGAATCGCTGGATTATCACATTTAGCTTTCTGATACTGATAAGAAAAAGATTTGAGTAGCTGGGGTATTTTCGATATTGATAAGAATTAGATATTAATGTCATAATTGTCGTTTCCCTGGAAATCACATATAGCTTCCGATCGTGTTTACGATTAGATTGTGTTTCAACAACCAAAAGAGTCCTTTAATTTATCATGGTCCTTATTTATATTAACCAACATCAGGATAAAGTATCTTTACGCGATTAGCAATAGCATTGTCAATATCGAGTAAAGCACGTTTTTTTCTTTTCTTTTATCTTGAGAAAAAAACAAGGACAAAGAAAGGAAAAAAAGGAAAAAAAGGTCACAGTACAGGTAAAAAAGGATGAGACCTTCCAGCGACATGGCGGTACACGTAGGTGAGACAGGCTAATTTAAGTGTAATAAATAGACTCATAAACGTGAGAATAGGTGTTCGAATCCTAGCATACCGTTCATGTTGAATATTCCTATGTTTATGAGTTCATTCGTTACACTAACTTTTCTTCTCTCAGAAGGAACTCCCTTCACTTCAAAATCTCGTTTGTACATCATCTATGCATTATGGACAGACTGACATGTGGAATACCAGTCCGGAATGCATGTGATCTAGGAATTCGCCTAGATTTATTTGGTTTAGACGCAGCAGTATATCTGGAGGAAGTCCTTTCACTTTCAAGTTACCGTCCAATGACTTCCAGATCTGCATAGGAATCTCAGTAACGATGCTGTTTCCCTCAGTGATGAGTGCAGTGAAGACACCAGTATGGAAAAGGATGAGCAACTGAGAGACGAATGGCCTTACAAATCCTTCAGTTTGAATAGATCACAAGGATTAATTAGTCACTATCAGGCCATTGAGTAAGTTCCAACTCAATAGCATTCTCTCAGCGTCATCACATGAAAGGGAGTTATGTTTAGCCAAAGCATGAAAATAACCTTTAATTAAGTATTTTCTTTTAATCTAATCCTTTACCACTAATAACCTCTTCATCTCACTTTCTAGACAAAACTGAAATGAAACTTACGTTTGTGCAGATCGTCAAACATTCATGCAGTTGAATGGGTGAGCCACCTACAATAATTGATAATGTTTCACACCATGCCCCATTCTCATTTCTGTGAAGCTGTTAACCCTATGCATTGCATATTGCTACTATTATCATTTTCTGCCGTCCGCTAAACACTGGGAACTGCTGTTGATGCTACCCAGCCATCCCTGTTACCCCTTTGCACTGCGAGGCCGAAACGGAATAATGGATAACTAAATTACTTACATCAGAGTCCGGGATTAATTGCGTGCACCAGCTGAAACCCAATCCTATTTTCGGTCTAAACGCAGCGTCCCTTTGTGCTTTGATTCTGTTGATTCCCGATGATGAACCAAATCCCTCTTTGACCCGCTGGCAGAAGAGTTAGTTTCGGATTTAGTTTATAATGCAATGTATAGAATAAAAGTATTTACTTGGCAAAAGGCAAACGTAACGCTAATATAGATAACATGTCGATGCAAGAGAGAGAGAGAGAGAGAGAGAGAGAGAGAGAGAGAGAGAGAGAGAGAGAGAGAGAGAGAGAGAGAGAGAGAGAGAGAGAGAGAGAGAGAGAGAGAGAGAGACTATAATGATAGTAATAGACAAAAATGATAACAGTTATATGAACAATAATAGTAATAACAAACATGTTATAAAGTTACAAAGAGGGGAAATCTCACGCATCTCACGCTTAACGCTACGAATGATAATATTCTCTTACACTTTTTAAGATAAAGCAAATGAAAATGAAAATCCTCAATTTGTGACGAGTTATCAGTGAAGATCTCTCTTCCTCGTGTTCTCGACTTTTTTGTGAGATTAAGGAGAATACTTGTGCAGTTATAATTAATGCGTTCTCTCGAGACGCGCGATTGTGAGGCATATTTTTCGAAGCGATATTAACATGGAAGTTTTTGCCTCGGATATGCAAACGAGAAACATAAATTCCCGTGAGCGGAAAGCCTCAGAAGATTCGTTATTGTTAGCAGGCAATCATCCTTCTTCACTGATGATACAAGCTGGGAGGAAAGGTGATATCACTCACTAATTGATGGATTTAGTTTCTGCAAAAAGCGCGGCATACTCATAAAGAAACGTACACACGCATAGAGGTAATTATTCATTACTCTTGATCCTAACAGTAGCTATAATAGAAATATATACAACAATAGTATTATGATTATTACAGAAGCTTGCGAGGCATGTTCGTAACAAAATCTGTATTTGTTTCCATGACAACAGTTGCTCGATCGGAAACTGATCATCAAAGAAAGGCACTTCAAGCATGTTATGACACGATTGCTCAATGAAATTCTCTTCTGATCTACTTCGCGAACCTTGCTCCCACGTTTATGAATATGGAAATCAAACGTCTTTTTCAGGACGTAGCTACTTACTTTATGAATATAATGAAAGTAGTGGTTATTAGGTAATATATTAAAAAATATTGGCCAAAACAACCGTTGTTTCACGTGTGTTAAACGCCACGTTTCGTCAACCTTACGAGAATATGCTGAACTGTTGGGTAGTGTATCGTATTGCAGAATATTAGGGACACAATAGCAATGCTTATAAATATCAGAGGGTCTTGCAACAGCCATAACGATCCATATTTGATATTTTAATTTCTTTTCGTGTCCACGGCGCTAATTATGAAGGCCTCTGGCTGTACATACAATATATTTCTATGAAGTTAATTACACAAATAGGCTATGATCTGTGTAAAGAGCGTGAATGATACTCTACCTGTAATTGTCTATTAAGCGTATTACGTTCTGTGCGCGTAAATTGAATAGCTGGCTTATTTTCGATATTGATAAGAATTAGATATCAATGTCACACATGTCGTTTTCCTAGAAGTCGTTTATAGTTTCCGGTGTTTAACGAATAGACTATGTTTCAACAACTAAGAGATTCCTTTATTCTATCCTGGTCCTTATATATACAACCCTACACCAGGATAAAGTACATTGTACGCAATTAGCAATAGCATTGTCAGTATCGATTAAAGCCCATTTTGTTTCACTAATCTTGAAAAATAATAAAACAAGCAGCCTCTAGCCAATAACAATACATTCACCGTATGTCACACACCATGTATTAAGCCGCGAAAATGGAAAAGAAATCGCAGTACAGGTAAAAAGGACGAGGCCTTCCAGTGACATGGACTCAATATACATGGGAATATTCAACATGAATGACATGCCAGGAACACCCCGTCCCTCATTGCCAAACTATGCAAGGTTACAATTCATGATATAAGTCAGGTCACTGGGGTTAGGTGATGCTATGGCTCCAGTATGATATAGTATGTTTTCATAAGCTTATTTCGAATCTCGCAACTAATTCAAATTTGATCGAAAAAATCTTTGCATGATGTTGACTTTGGTACAGTCGTGCTCTTTTATATTTCTGGGCAGGATGTTAGTGCCGTTAGCTAGTGTATAAAAATGGATAATTCCCTTATACGTAATTATTATTGATATATATATATATATATATATATATATATATATATATATATATATATATATATTATGTATATAACATATGTATATATATATATATATATATATATATATATATATATATATATATATATATATATATATAATGCACACACACACACACATATATATATACGTATGGATATATAGGTATATATATATTATGATAAGGCCTACCTTGATTTATTTTAATCAAATGAATGACTTACATGAAAAAAATGTTCGTTTTAAGGCCGCACTGCTTTTACGAACCGCCTCCTTTTGAACCGAATCGTTTCCACATTGTATTAAACGCGGCAGATTTATTAAGCGCGAAACTTCAGGTTTGGGTTGATTTTTTCCCACCGTTATATCGTTTTTTTATTTATTAATTTATTTGTGTATCTATATCTCTATTTGTTCATCTATTCATGTATTTATTTATTTGTTCATTTATCTTTGTTTGATTAGTATTATGTTCATTTATCTTTGTTTGATTAGTATTATGTTCATA